GCTTTATGAGCCAAGCAGGCCTTAGAATACAGGAGTTAAGGGAACACCTTACTGTTTGTTGTCCAGCTACTTGGCCTCTTTTGGCCTCAGTTTCCTTATGGATAAAAAAACCCACAATGTCCAACTCACAGAGTAACAGAGAGAATGAAAAACAAATGTGTGCAGAATGCTTGGCTCACAAGAAGCACAATAAATTGCTGCTGCTATCCGTATTCCTAGACACAGCACTGACTCCCACAGCATGAAGCCAAAGCTGGGTATACAGTAAATCACTGAAAAAATATAGGTTTTTGGGTATTTCTCATATCTTCCAGGTTCCTTGGATATTTCTACCCATTCAACAAACATTTGAGCAGCTTCTATTCCATGTTAGGCTGTTCAAAGGGTTAAACCAAACAGAAAAGTTGTCTACTACTCACTACATAATGCTATGGTTGTCACCCCTAACTTGCCTTCCTTCCTAATACAAAATTATAAGGCAGGCACTCTCTCTAGACAAATTTACCAACATATTAAACATCTAACCCTAATGTCACTAGAATTATTTTATCACGTTCTTGCAAATCAATGCAGTCTGAAAATGATTTCTTTTTTTAACCTGTAAAAATAGGCTGGTTGGAATTATTATTGTGAGGCAGGATGTTAAGCTTCCACCTGCAATAAGTTACAAATACAAATTTCAAAACACATGCTCCCATTATGTGGTGATTAACTGAGGCAAATTCTACTATGGCCTTGCTTGAGTGTTGATGGTGCAGAGGTAATTGAGGAAATGCACAGGCTCTTCATCAGCATACCCCATCTGTACAAAGCATTAGGCATGGTGTAGAAGAGATATTCCAGACTGTCCATGCCAACCAAGGATGAGAAATGGTAAATGAGAAGTGGGGAGAAACAATACCAGCGTTCATGGTAAAAGGAAGAGTCCCGCCTTAATATGTTGACCATGCAGGTATACTAAGGACTTGTCCTCCTTTTCGCCAATGACCCAGCAGGCTGGTTCACCACACTGATGAAGTAATACCTGATTCAGTGCCCACAGGTCACAATTATCTAGGCTATGAGCCCAGTAAACAGATGAGTGTCACCCACAGAGGTGCCGGTGGGGTGTATGAACTACTGTGCCAAGGGACCTACTATGGAGACTATCTGGGGGGATGAGCCACATCAGTGCTGAGGAGTGTCTGAAGCAACACATGAAGTTTATCTGAAATGAGACAACTTGGGATCCCCCTTCAACACAGCATCTAATAGTGACCACTTTGATGTGGATGGCCAGTTGTGGTATCAGCTTGTGGAAAGTGGATGAAGAGGTGTCAGGCAGAACAGCACCTGATGGCACACCTTTAGCTTCATAGTTCCGAGTGACAAGCACAGCACAGTGTGTGAACACTCCATTGCGTGGATGTACTTGGGTATTTTCTAGAGTGTTGAGGGTCTGCACAGCTTAAATTCAGGGGCTATGACCATCAGGGCCAGGAGAGTTGGTTTGGACTGTTGTAGGGCTCCTCTTAAAATAACAGAGGGGTGAGCATTGGGGAACAGCATGTAAGATGGCTCTTTCGAGACCCACATCCTATATTAGAGTAGGTTTGAGTCCCACTCCACTTCCAATCCAGCTTCCTACTAAAGTGCACCCTAGGAGGCAGCATATAATAGCTCAGGTACTTGGGTCTGTGCCACCCACACCGAGTTCTGGGATTTTCACTTCATAAAACCTGATGTTTTCACATCACAACCTGGCTGAATTCCAGCTATTGTGAATATCTGGAGAGAAGAGTGGATGAGAGATCACTGTGCCTTTAATGTGAATAAAATTAATTTTCAAAATTTAAATAAACCTCCTGCATCCATGTGGCCAGACTGGGACTATTCCAGTTGGGCCCCTTCCCTGTGGGGATGGCAGCAGCATAGACTAATTGAAAAAATGCCTGAATACCTCAGTGGCCTCCTTTTCTCAGTTGTGCATCATTGTTTGACATACAAAGTTCATGATGGAGTGTTATTTTCCAGATCACCAACACACATTGCAGCAAAGGAACACCTTATGTTCATCCACTCTGCATGGAGGACCCCATCAGCTCTGCTTCCCAGATGATACGAGTCTCTCATGTGGGTTACAGGGACCCACATACTTCAGCCATCACTCCCTCCAAAAGTGCATATTAGCATAAAGCTGGAATTGAGAGTTGTGACTGTAACCTAGGCATGCCAATATAGGATGTGGACATACTAAGCAGGGTTGTAACACATGCCAAATGTCAATCCCTCAGGGAATTTTTGAAGTGCCTCTGTATATCCAAGGCTTTCAGAGAAAGGAGACAGAGCCTTCTGGGCCCTGCCCCTTTACTACATAGTTTCTGCTTCTCCCCAACATTGCACACTGCTTCATGTGTCTCTCTCTGTGCATGCTCACTTCTGAGGTCTCTTCAGGCAGACAGGGAAGAGCAGCAGAGCACAGAAGAGTGGGTCTGGGAGACAAGGCAGATTAGGGAAAAACTGGACTGTGACAGTTTCTGCCTGGATCCTGCCACTTAGTGTTTAGTGACCACATCTGAAGCAGAGGAAAATTGTTCATCTACATGCCAAAAACTGAAATATAATATCTTTATATTACCCAGGCATGAAAGTCAAATCAAAATGAATTGAAGGCTTACATAAAAGGGCTGAGAATATAAAACCCCTTACAAATGGAAGCAAATTCATTGATATTAGTCTCAACAATGATTGTTTAGATATGACACTAAACGCATAGGTGACAAAAGCAAAGACTGAAAAAAATCTAAGAAATATTCTGCATGTGATAGGAAAAACAGAACAGATAAAGCAAGAAATGAAGAAAACATTGGACAACCTGAGTTTGAACACAAACAACTCAAAAACAAATATTGTAATAAAAATTGCACAAAGGATTGATCAGTTTTCCATTGAATATATACAAGTAGCCAACAGGTAACTTAAAAGGGATTCAGAAACAGCTAATGAAGACTACAATGCTAATTAAGACCACAGTGATTATCATCTCATATATGTTAAAATAATTATCCAAAAGTAAAAAGATAACATTGTCCCAGGGTCGAAAAAGGAATATAAAAATTGTTGCTGAGAAAGTAAATTGGTACATCCAATATAGAAAACATTATGTAGGTCTTCAATCAAAATTAAACATAGAACATATGACAAAGCAATCTCACAACTGCGTGTATATCCAAAGGAAACCAAATCAATATCTCAAATAGATACCTTTATCTCCACATTACTGGCAGCATTATCTACAAGAACAAGATATGGAGACAACCCCACTGTCAACATATGAATAAAGAAATGTGATAAACACACATACACAGGAATCACAGACAACCTTAATAAGGAAATTCTTCCATTTTGTCAGGATGTGGATCCAAAAATATGAATGTGGACATTAGGCTATTTGAAATAAGGCACAGAAAGATAAATGCCACACAATATCACTCATATGTGTAAGCTAAGAAAGTCGCACTTAATCACAGAATAGAATGGTGGTTGTCATGGGCTGAGAGTGAAGGACATGGGAAAATGTTAGCTGAACACACATTTGCAGCTATGAGATAAATTAACAAAATTAACACCTCAAGACCTTAATATTCAACACAGTAAACAGTTGGTTATGATATCACATACTCACAACTTGCTAATATCTTCCATATTCTTTAATAACATAGGGATGTAATGTGATGGATATGTTAGATTGTCTTAATCATTTCACAATGTATATGTACAAGAGGACTCCAGAAAGTTTATGAAAAAATGTAATCAAAAGATAATGTGAATTGTCCATAACTTTTTAACGTCCCTCACATAGCAAAACATCAGTTTTTGATGATACACAAATTGTGTCAGTCATACTCTGACAATCTTCGAAAAAATTAAAACAAGCAAAACTAAACAGGACTCCTATATTAAAATATAAATCCAAAATAACTTAGTAAACTAGACATATCTACAGGATTTGGAAGACTTTCATGCAAGAGAAATCATTTTTAAAACACACATAAATTTGAGTGGTCAAAATTTCTATTTTGAAAGTGCAAATAGAGATGGCACCCTGTACAGAGAAAGTGCAAGTGCTAAGACGATTGCCCAAGTACCAAATTACAGGGTCTTTCTGCTTCTCTAAAACCTGGGTGAAAACCCCAAGCCAAATAAAACTTCTGTCTCTACCTTACTCAGTCTATGTTACTGTGATATTGGAAACATATGAAGGAGTGAGACATCCTAGAAACAGCTGTGTAAAGAGGTCAATGCCCTGGAAAATACCCTGCAGGCCACATATTGAGAAAACTCGGGGGAACCAGGTGCCTGTGGGGAGGGAAGGAGGAACCTACAGCGCCTGTCCCGCATGAACCACATACACAGAGCCCACATTCTCCCTAGAGACTACCCAGTCCCCACTGCACAATCGGGGGAGACGTGGAGCTACTGTCACACAGCTGGCCTGCTATGGCTCCGGGCTGAGAAGTCTCACCCAAGCAGGGAAGGGGCAGGACCTCGGGGGTGCTGGGTGCCGGTAAAACCCCCAACCCACGGGTCTGAGGGGACCGAGGGGAAGCCCTGTGCCAGCGCCAATATGGAGCCCACAGATGCCGGAGGCCTGTGTCCTCCTGGCCTTCGGCTCCGTTTTCCCCTCTCAGTACAGCCAGGTCCACACACTCACCATGTCGCGGTTGTCAGCTTCCTAGGTGCCCAGTGTCCCGGTGAGTGAAGGTGGAGAGCTGCAGAGGTCGACCTCGCTTGGGAGCCTCCTGGCGGCTGAGCTGTCTCCCAGGAGTTCACTCTGCAGGCAAAATTCTGAGAAGATTGTGACGTCCAGGCCCCGCGTGCTGATGCACTGTGGACGTCACCTTGCCTGATTGGACAGTTTGCCAGCCTTGAGTGCACGGAACGTCACAAAGCACGGAGCCAATCAGCGTCCCCCATAGCAAGGACCCCTAACTTCAAGTTGTCCTGGATGGGAACAGCGAGAGACAGACCTGGGTTCAGGTCTGAAATGGCCGCCCCTGGGCTCTGCCTCCCCGCGGCTGGAGGGCTCTCACCTCCGAGCTCCTGCTACCCACTGGCCTCGCCCTGGGTCCCCGTCCTTCTCCCTGCGGATGCTGCCTGGAGCTGGCGGTAACCTGTTGCAGTGAGTTACAGTTCTGTTTATCCACTTCCGGCGCTTTCGTTTTCCTTGTATTTCTGCTCATTCTATTGGGTCGTTTGTATTATTGATTTGAATAACACTTAGATGTAACATAATTTACTCTTTTTTTTTCTTTTCTTCTGTTTTCTACTCTGCCTATTGATCTTTTATATTTTCTAGTTATTTCTTGCTGGCACTTGGTAATCTAATGGATTTTTAAAACATTGATCTTTCCCACAACATTAAATTCATTTATCAGTTTATTTGTTTTTAGATTTTATGGATTCTCCCTAAATAAATATCTCCAATATATTGGCAATTTATTTTTAAGAAATTGATCTTTACATCTTATTTTATTTCTTTTTGCTCTCCCCCTCGCCCCCAACTACTCCTCCAATAAGAAGTTGGCACTAGTGGACTTCCTGGTCTAGGTTTACTTCCAGGGTAAAAGCTGTCAATGATTCTGTATTAATCATGGTTTTCGTTGTAGGATCCTTTTAAAAATTTTGATCTGAATAAGAAAGCCATTGCTCTTTTTACTATACTGCAAGCAGTTTTTAAAAATTACATGCTGATTTTTAAATGTTTTTGAACATTAAATTGTCATGTGATTTTCTCCTTGAATTTGTCACCTACCTGGAAAATTTACATGACTTGTTAAGAAATGTTAACCACCTCTTGTATTTTTTATTATATGTGACTTGTTATTCATTACATTTTCATATGCGATTTCATTTATTATACAAATACTAAGGATTTATACATCTGTGTATGAAAGAGAGTTTATACTTAATTTATATTGAAAGTTCTGGTCAACTTTGCATCATTATCAATGTAATGCTGGCTTTCTTAAAGAAATCTGAAAATATGCTTTGCTTATTTATACTTTGATACATCTGAGAAATATAGGTGTTTTTTATTTCTTAAATGTTTGAAATATTTTGTGTTTCTATAACTGAAGTTTTGTTTCTCTAACTGTTTTATTGGCTGGTGGCCTTCAAACTGGGATTCAACTTGCTTGTTTTAATTTGGAGTTTTCCTATTTTATACTTCTTATATTGGATTTTAGGAATTTATATTTGTGTTTGTGTTTGGGAATTTGATTTTCAAAGTATAGTGGATTTTTATCTCTAGTCAAGTTTTTATCCCAAGAGTTTTTTTTTTTTTTTTTTGACATGCAGAGTTAGATGGTGAGAGAGACAGAGAGAAAGGTCTTCCTTCCATTGGTTGACCCCCCAAATGGCCGCTATGGCCAGAGATACACCGTTCCAAAGCCAGGAGCCAGGTGCTTCCTCTTGGTCTCCCATATGGGTGCAGGACCCAAGGACTTGGGCCATCCACCCCTGCCTTCCTGGGCTACAGCAGAAAGCTGGACTGGAAGAGTAGCAACCAGGACAGAATCTGGTGCCCCAACCAGGGCTAGAACTCTGGGTACTGGTGCTGCAGGCGGAGGATTAGCCTAGTGGGCTGCAGCGCCGGCCTTACCCCTAAGAGTTTTACAATATTTTTTTCTGATCTTGACAAAGCTCTTTTCTCTGTAAACAATTGTTTTAATACATGAAAATGGACACTAGTGTTACTTTTCCTTGTGTTTCCTCAATTACTTTTACTCATAGTTTATTAATTTTGTTAAAATTAAAAAGTATATCCTGGGGCTGATGCTATGGCATAGTTGGTAAAGCCACCACCTGCAGTGCTGGCATCCCATATGGGCCCCAGTTCAAGTCCCAGGTACTCCCCTTCATATCTAGCTCTTTGCTATGGCCTGGGAAAGCAGTAGAAGATGGCCCAAGTCCTTGGGCCCCTGCACCCATGTGAGAGACCTACAAGAAACTCCTGAATTCAGATAAGGGCAGCTCTTGCTGTTGCAGCCCTCTGGAGAGTGAACCAGTAGATGGAAGACCTTTTTCTCTCTCTGCCTCTGCCTCTCTGTAACTCTGCCTTTCAAATATATAAATAAATCTTAAAAAATATTTCCAGAAATGAATGAAAAATCTGTCCCGGTTGCTCCTCTTCCAGTCCAGCTCTCTGCTGCGGCCCAGGAAGGCAGTGGAGGGCGGCCCAAGTGCTTGGGCCCTGCACGTGCATGGGAGACCAGGAGGAAGCACCGGGCTCCTGACTTTGAATTGACTCAGCTTGCCGGCCATGGGGGCCATTTGGGGGTTGAACCAATGGAAGAAAGACCTTTCTCTCTGTCTCTCTCTCTCACTGTCTAACTCTGCCTGTCAAAAAAATAAATCTATGAGTGTGTGTGTGTATATATATACACATATATGCATATATTATTATATTATATAGTTATACAATATATGACATAGTTATATAGTTACATAACATATATAATAATTATATAATTTATAATAACATATAATTATATATTAGAATATATCACATTAGACTATATATTATATATCTTAACTATAATATAATATATAATATAATAACTATGTATAATATATATATAATTATCAGCAAACTCAGTAAGATGTTTAATTTATTTAAAAATTGAATAAATACAAATTAAAGTATGTGTTTTTCATCAGATTCAAAACAATTATTGCAACTGTTGACATTTTGACATATATGAGGCAATGGCCATTGAATAGAATGTGAATTTGCAAAAGAAATTGGTGATGTGTACCAAAAGTCTTAGCAATACAGATTATGTTATTATATACTCTTGTCCCAAATAAGCACTTCCTAAAAAAATCTTTCTTTGGAAAAATAGGTTTCAGAAGGGTCTATGGAAACTTTTTCTTAGGGAAACTTGAGGATAGAAAAGTAAATATCTAACAGTACAGTATTCATTAAATAGTATATGATAAATCCATATGAAGAAACATACTGTTTAGCAATAAAATATATTTACATTATTAAGCAAAAAAAAACCCTTGCAAAGCAGGATGTATGATATATATATCTCCACTATTTTTCAAAAACATGCTTATTTATTTTTTAAATATTGATTTATTTATTTGAAAGAGTTACACAGAGAGAGCAGAGGCAGAAAGAAAGAGAGAGAGAGGTCTTCCACCCACTGGTTCACTCCCCAATTGGCTGCAATGGCCAGAGCTGCGCCGATCCCAAGCCAGGAGCCAGGAGCTTCCTCTGGGTCTCCCAAGGGGTGCAGCACTTGGGCCATCTTCCACTGCTTTCCCAGGCCATAGCAGAGAGCTGGGTCGGAAGTGCAACAGCCAGGTCTTGAACTGGTGGCATTTGGGATGCCAGCGTTTCAGGCCAGGGCATTAACCTGCTGCACCACAGCACCAGCCCCCAAAACATGTTTATACAGATACATTTCCTCAAGCCTGTGTTACGTGAGCGAAGCCATCTGTTTGACTCACATAAGCATACCTTAAAAAGATTGTGGAAATGGAATTAAAAGTTAAATTTATTTTGGTTCAAAACATGTTGAAATTTATATATACATGGGTTATTTAAAAAGTTCATGGAAAACATGTATTATGAGAAATACATATTTCAAATGTTATGCACCAACATAAACTTTATCTTCTACTTCTATTTCCCATGAAATTTTGAAATCCAACAGAAAAACATGCTGTTGCTGGGAAATATCTGCCCATTATTTAATATATTGTAGAGATGCTAAATCTGCCTGAAGTTACTAAGAGTGTGGACGTGATTAGACACCTTTTCATTTAACCTCTCTGCGTTGTAACCGATAGTCACATTTAAAGAAACTATTTCCAGGTGTTGTGCAATCTGTGATACCGAAATCAGAGCAGAGTGTCTTCTTGACGCGGCGGCTCACCGGCCAGAGCCCTAGGGCCAGTTGAAGGGGCTGCCCGCCAGCAGCGAGTCCCGGGTGAGCATCTGGGCGGGCGTCTTGCCCACCAGGAGCAGCAAGTGGAGCTGCGCAATGAGGGGCGCCTGGAGCGCGCGCAGGGCCAGGCGCACTGGGGCTGGGACGGGTACTGGGCGCGCAATACTCCATGAGAGCCACCTGCGCCTGCTCCTGCAGCCTCTCCGTGCGCGCAGAGGCCGAGAGCGCCATGACATTGAGGCACCGGACTCCACCGAGTCCCCCTGCAGGCGGCCCAGCTCCTCCACCTGCTCCTGGTCCAGGAAGGCCGCGCGCGCTTGGCCGGCAGTGGCGCCCTGTGCAGGCAGGGGCAGCGCTAAGAGCAGCCGCGCCGCCAGCGTTCTCACCTGGTCCATGCCCAGCGCCGCGCCGCCGCCACCTGCACCTGCCCCGCCCACAGCTGCACCGCGAACAAGCCAGGAGGGCTGCCGGAGGAGGCGGCCAGCGCTGCTGGGCAGTGATTACGGGATGCGGCCTGCGCTGCAGCGCTGCGGGGCGGCAGGAGGGAGAGAGAGAAGGGCAGGGAGAAGACTGCCAGAGCGAGGCTCCCTCAGAGTCCCCCCCACCCCAGCTCCGGGAGAGCCCGGGTGAGGAGGGGGCCTGGGGTCTTCCCTAGGTGGGACTGGGAGCTGGGGCCTTGCCCGCAGCAAGCAGGTGAGGTGGGAGGAGGGAAACCGAGGCAGGGAGGGCTGGCTGCCAGGCAGGGCAAATTAAGGAGCCTTAATGAGCCCGCCCACCTGGCCTGATCGAATCCATGAGCTCCAGCCCTAGGCCAGCCTCACGCAGGGCACATTACCAGCCCTGGAGGGGACTAGGGGCTGGAGGTGGGCTGAGTCCTGCGGGGGTGGGGGTCAGCTGTGCAGTAGGAGTGGTCAAATGGGGCCCAAAAGTGCTGCCCTGGTTATAAGCCCCGCCTGCACCACTCCTCTCCCCCATCCTACCCCAGGGCCTTTGCACCTGCTCACCCCCCCTTCTTCAAACCCCCACCCTCAACTCTCCCACCTCCAGCCCAGGCTGGGGCGTGGGGTTCAAATCCTACCCACAACTCCCTCTTTAACACCAACCCCCGAATTAACAAATCTGCTTTAGAGCAGTATTGGCCATGGAGGAAGGGCTACCCTGGTGGCAACTGAAGCCATGGGCTATTTACTGAGGGCCAACTGTATGCAGGGACCCTGGG